TCATTCCTTTGAGGCTGAGGGTCATGGTGGTACAAAGAGGGGGCCTGCATGGTAGATTTTTGGGTGCAGCTGTTGTGCCGCTGGACTGACTGCTTACAGCTTGCCTTGGGCCTGAGCTGGTCTCAGCTGTTTTTCTGGGTTGTCAACAGGGAAGTCACCTGCAACACAGGAGGGGACTCCATGAGAAAGGAGACACAGCACTGGTGACAAGACGGTGTGATCTCTGCCCTTCAGCTTTTCAGAATCTAACAAAAGGTGCCCACTCTTCTCAGAAACATGAACATACGTGTTCGACTCTGCACCCAGCTGCCAAAAGCTTTACCGAGAGTCCACCCCCTGCACAGACTCCCTGGGCCTGTCCTTTCCTTAGGTTACCCATTGACCCCATGTGGCTACTGAAGTGGGCTTTAGTGGAAGTTAGAGGCTCTGTTCCTAGCCACATTCTACCTGCTCCAATGGGCATCGGTGAAGATCCCTACCTACCTGCTGTTGGGCAGCTAAGCTGAAGTGTTCCCATGGACCATGGGCTGGGATGCCCTCCTCAAGAAGTTGAGACCTCTAGCCTCACTCCTGGTGAAATAACATTAATCTTGTGTTTCTGGATTCAGGGATACACCAAATAGCTGGGAGAGGAACACCTACAATCCCCCTGAATTGTAGCACAAAAAATAAAAGACTTAGGAATTGATATTGGGGTTCAAGCTTCAAGCTGAAGATAAGAAAAGCAAAGCAGCCACGACAGTAGATTCTACCTCTACCTAGCTGAAATAACAATCCTGTCCCCACGAATCCTCAGAGGTAAAAGGCTCTTCTCATTGTTACTGAAGAGAATCAATCTCCACATGAGACCCTTTGCTTTTTATGCCTTCCTAGTGCTGGGATTAAAGGTGTGTTATCCCAAGCTGGGATCATCTTTGTTCGAGCTGATTCTCTATAGGACTGGATCAATTTTGTATAGCCAGTATGGCCTTAAACTGACAGAGATCCGTCTACCTCCTAATCTGAGCCTTGGGACTAAGGATGTGTACTACCCTTAGCTCTCTGGCTACTGGAATTAAAGGTGTGTATCACCACTGTCTGACCTCTGTAGCTTGTGGCTGACTTTTTTCTGAACCTCAGTCAAGCTTTAATAAATCATAAATAATACATCACTACACTGAACAACCCTTAAAATTCTCTCCAGTCTTGAGTCCCCCTTAATAGCCTTCCCTCTGAGAGGCCTATGTTGGAGCTGTGCTCTGTAAAGACAGCCAATTCTGACTCCTCATTCTTCTCATCACAGGCTGCTGTGAATCCCATGACTTCCTCTAGTGCCTACTCGTGCAGTAGCCTTCTGTCCTAGTTAGCTCAGTGATAGAATGCTTGATACGCATGCACAAGGCCCTGGCTTCCATCTCTAGCAACGCACACGCACACGCACACGCACACGCACACGCACACACACACACGCAAGCACGCCAAAGAAATCTCTCTCTCTCTCTCTCTCTCTCTCTCTCTCTCTCTCTCTCTCTCTCTCCGTTTCCTACCCAAACAACCAAAATTTATACTATGACTGAATATCAACCTCTACTAAGTGAGAATATGAATTTCAGTGCCAGACTGGATAATCTAGGTATGTCTAGGTATGATAAACTGCTGGCTATGTGATCATGATATCCAATGTTGCCATTTGTAACATGTCATTTACTATGAATTCTCTTTCATAAAATGTCCCAAGTCCTACTGGTGTAATGTTCAGGAAGCGGTCTCCTGTGCCAATTCATTCAAGGGTATCTCTCACTTTCTCTTCTAGAAGACTCAGTGTGGCTGGATTTATGTTGAGATCTTTGATCCATTTGCACTTAAGTTTTGTGCATGGTGACAGATATGGATCTATCTGCAATCTTCTGCATGTCCGCATCCAGTTGTGCCAGCACCATTTGTTGAAGATGCTATCTTTTTTCCATTGTATAGATTTAGCATCTTTGTAAAAAATAAAGTGTTCGTAGATGCGGGTTAATATCAGGGTTTTCAATTCAATTGCATTGGTCTATCTGCCTATTTTTGTGCTGTTTTCGGAACTATGGTTAGGTAGAATCAACATAGTAAAAATGGCAGTCTTGCCAAAAGTAATCTACAGATTCAATGCAATCCCCATCAAAATCCCAACACAGTTCTTCACAGACCTTGAAAGAACAATACTCAACTTTATATGGAAAAACAAAACAAAACAAACAAAAAAAAAACTCAGGATAGCCAAAACAACTCTGTACAATAAAGGATCTTCTGGAAGCATCACCATCCCTGACTTCAAGCTCTATTTTAGAGGCTAAAGGGTGGTGGGTGGACATGAAAGGACTGGGAAATGAGTGGTATTGGGGTGCATGATATGAAATCTCCAAGCTGGGGGCAAGTATCCAAATGCCTGAGACTTACAGGGCCATCTGTAAGTCATATCTGTATATCTTATCTGCCCAAGACTCCTTATAATTTCTTCCAGTCTTTTCATGTCCACCCTCCAACCTTTAGCCTCCCCCCAAAAAAATAAGAAAAGAAAAACCCACTTTGCTTCATCCTGCCCACTTCTGCTTCTCTGTCACATAATTGTTTGTTGTAGTGGCATGGGAGCTGCGATGTGTCACACAGTATACCCTTTTGCCCAAGCAGTTTTACTTGCAAATGTTCATTGCAGCGAAATGTTGCTCTGCTTCAAGGACTCTGGCTTCTGCTACACCATCAATACTGGACCCTCACCAAAATGCCCCCGAATATCCTGCTGTTACCCAGAGATAGGGAGATCCTGAGGCTGTGGTTTGGAAGGACCGTCCCTTCACACACTCCAGCAGGTTGTCGATGGGGTCTGTGTTGGGGTGGGAGAACTCAAAACCCTGACTATGGAGCTGGGTGGTATCTGAGTTAGTCAGCCTGGAACCCGTCTCCAGTTGAGCGACAGGGCCATCTATCCCATGCCCAGACTTCCAGAGCCAGTTCTCCAGTCCCATACTACTGAGGCCAGCTTTCCCATGATGGTGAGGCCAGATTTCCCATGGGGGCAGGGCTGACTTTCTAGCTGTGACTGCCGGTGACGGTAGGGAAATTTGTCATTTTTTAAAAAAATTGTTTTATTTGCTGTTTATTTTATATCCTGACCACAGTTTCCCCTCCCTCCTCTCCTCCCAGTCCCTCCCCTACCTCCTCTCTGCCTCCCATCCACTCCTCCTCCGTTTCTATTCAGAAAAGGGATGGCCTCCAATGGATATCAATAAAACAAGGTATATCAAGTTGAAGTAAGACTAAGCATATCCCCTCATATTAAAGCTGGACAAGGCAACCCAGTATAAGTGGTAGGGTCCCAAAAATTGGCAAAAGAGTCTGGGACAGCCCTTCCTTTCACTGTTAGGAGTCCCACAAGAAGAGCAAGCTACACAGCTTTAACACATATGAAGACGGTCTAGGTCAGTCCTACGCAGGCTCCGTGGTTGTCGGTTCAGTCTCTGTGAGCCCTATAAGCCCAGACCGGTTAGTTGATTCTGTAGATTTTCCTGTGGTGTTCTTGACCCCTCTAGCTCCTACAGTCTTTCCTCCCCCTCTTCTGCAGGATTCCCTGAGCTCTGCCTAATGTTTGGCTGTGGGTCTCTACGTCTGTTTCTAGCAGTTGCTGGATGAAGCCTCTCTGATGACAATTGGACTAGGCACCAATCTATGAGTATAGTGGCCAACAAGGGGTGGGACCAGCTCTCCCAGGGCCATTAAAGGATGGGGAATTGTCATTTACTTCTTTCTTTCTTTTTTTTTTTTGGGGGGGGGGTTCGAGACAGAGTTTCAAGGCTGTCCTGGAACTAGGTCTTGTAGACCAGGCTGGCTTCGAACTCACAGAGATCCACCTGCCCCTGCCTCCCAAGTGCTGGGATTAAAGGTGTGCACCACCAACGCCCCGTGGAATTGTCATTTCTCGATTCCCAATTTCTTACAGAATTCCCATTCTGAATTTCTCAGCGTATGATTTGTTTAAAACACCTGCATAGAGCTTTTTGAACAGGAGTCATTGCACCGGTGCTCACAGTTATGGGCTCTATGTGCTTCAGTCAAAGGAATCATTCCCATGCATTGAGATCTGAATAGGTTTGCTTAACATGACACAACTAATGCCATGACACTTCTCTGGGAATAATGAGCAACTCTAGATGGCGAGTGTTCTAAGATCCTAACCTAGCTCTGATTTGCTCTCACCAGTGCCCTTTCACCAGGGCAGTCAGTTGGGGTTTTACAGTGAGATACAGTGGACATCTCTCTAAAATGTCTAGTGAGGAGAGTTTTGAATGGCTGTGTGCTGCAGAGTTATGCATACACAATTACTTTTCAGACTAGTAGTGGAAGAGACATGGTGTGCAATGCAACCTCCCCATCCTCATTGCAACTGAGATCTCACAGGAGGAATATCAAGATGGATACAATATCCTGCCCAATGTAACCCAAGAAAGCCAAGTCAAGAAATACACAATGAACCAAAAGGAGTTGCAATGAAGTCAGTTTAATGGATCAAACATTAGAGTGTCTTGCGATTTTGTTTCCTTTTAAAACAAATAGTCGTACATGAACATTAATTTTGGCAAAGACCACTCTACTCTGGGCAGGTACTTATGTTATGGTCCAAACCCATTCAAATAAATCCATATCATTTCTGGGCCTCCCCAGCTGCCTGTCAATCAAATAGATCAGGATATTGTTGGAGGGCTTTCGGCCTTTTAACTCCCTGGATGCAACTGGCTCCATGTTGGATTCTGATGAGCTGGGACTGGCTTCCGATGAGCTGGGACTGGCTTCCAATGAGCTGGGACTGGCTTCCGATGAGCTGGGACTGGCTTCCAATGAGCAGGGACTGGCTTCAGGCTTTTCTTTATCCATGACTGGTATTATCCAATCGCCTTGGGATCACGAAGAAAGCCTGAAAATATAAAGCCACATAATCCAGTAAACACAGAGGCCTCTTTATTACTGCCACATACCTGTTTTTGTCTGTCTGTCTCTCTCGCACATTGTAGTCAAATAAGGTTGCTTTGAGACACAGTTTGATCTGCAGTGGCCATCATATTATATTATACATTATCATATCTCACATGATCATATCTTTTATCTTGTCATATCTATTTTTGGAAGCTCTGTTCTGTACTATTAAAACATTTTTTAATTCCTGTTTCTTTTTTAAAGTCTCTCTCTCTCTCTCTCTCTCTCTCTCTCTCTCTCTCTCTCTCTCTCTGTGTGTGTGTGTGTGTGTGTGTGTGTAAGTGTATGTCACAGATTACCTGTGGAGGTCATGGGACAACTATCATGTGGGTTCTAGGTATTGAACTCAGGCCATCAGTCATTGCATCAAGCAACTGCTTGAGCCATCTTGCTAACCTTCAATTCCTGTTTTCTTTGCCTAAGTGGAACCTTCATGCTACATTCTAAACTGCTACATTTCTCTTTATTCCAAGTAATAGAAAAGCAGGGCAATGCCTGCCTTGTTCTCTGCATCTGTCAGGGACAAATTTATAGAGAAACCAGCACAAGAGTCTTAGGAAGAAAAAGACGAAATTCTCAAGATTCCGATGACTCATTTTCATGACATCTAGAGGAAAAAGGGAAGGTCAACCAAGGACACAGCTGTAAGCCAGGTGTTCTGAGCACCTAAACCTAGATACTGACACAAGAAGGCATAGTCTAGACTTTTCGTGGCCCCCATACCTTAGGCACTTTCTAGGAGTGTTTCTTTTATTAGCTTAAACACCAAAACTATCTTCCTCCCTCCCCCATACCTGACATGGTCAGGACATAGCAGATGAGCTTGATGAGGGAACAAAACCTTCCATGTTACCTGTTTGTCAGGATGCTTGTTAAATCTCTCAGACCACTGTAGCACCTCTGGAAGAAATAGGCTAATAATACAAGGATTGAGAGGCAAAGTTCCCTGGGAGACTTGTCTGATTGGTCAGTTCTCCACGGAGTTATGACAATGCACAATGGACTTAGAATCCCGAAACCCAAAATCAGTTTTTTGATTCAACTACTGGCCACTGTTCCTAGTTCAGGATTGCTTGCTGTGGTAAGTAGAGAAGTCATTACAGACAGCAGACATTACCCACGTGGTAACTTTTTCCTTGGTTTTTATCTGAATAAAATGGTCAGTTCCCTTGGTCTCAGGGCTTTCCCTAGTTTGTTTAGTATTTCCACATTCCCTCTGCCATAGAAAAATGCCCATAACTCACACCTACATGTCTTTAGCAGGATTTTACATATAATTTCTAATTAGGTTTTATACTTATTGCAAAATAAAGTATTTATTATTACATCTTCATATATAAATCTCATTATATTCCACCTTTTCAAATACTTCGTTACTTTCTTCTAAAATTTCATATATTGCATTTATATCATATTCACTCCCCAACTTCTCCCAGATATACTCCCCATTCCCTACCCACCTAACTTGCTGTTCCCATTTTTTTAAACCATCAAGTCCAATTTGTGCTTCCCATATACCTACCAGAGAGAAGCTACACCTTAAATGAAAACTAACTGAGCCACCTCTCTAGTTCCCCGGTCCCCTTCTTTACAGGAGAATTTCTTTCACCAGTTTGAACACCAAACTATGACCCGCCCTCCCAGTACCCAGCATGGTCAGGACATAGTCAGAAGATGATCTTGATGGTGGAACAGAACATTACATGTTACCTGATTGTCAGGATGCTTGTTAAAGCTCTCAGACCACTGTAGCACCTCTGGAAGTAATAGGCTGAAGACACAAGGATTGAGAGGCAAAGATCCCTGTCAGACAATTTTTTGTGTCTCAGAACCTGATTGGACAGTTCTCTGGGGAGTTCTGATGATGCACAATGGACTAAGAACTCTCAAACAAACAGTTTTATGATCCAAGCACTAGCCACTGCTCCTGGTTCAGGGCTGACTATGATAAGCAAAAGTCATTTCAGATACTAGGCATTACTCAAGCATTAACTTTCTCGATGGATGTTATCTGGATAGGCTAGTCAGCTCTCTTGGTATTAGAGCTTTTGCCTAGTCTTTTTAAATATCTTCACACTAAACTGCATGAATGAGGAGTTTGCAGAATGTGGGGCACCCTAGCAGGTTCCCTGGCGATGCTCAATGATTTTGGCTTTCAGATCCAATTAGGATCAATTAGTAGAGGGACCCAGGTCACAATGTTTGAATTAAACAGGATTCTCTGAAGAAACAAAATTTTATATATAAAATGAATAAATATATAAATGTTAAATATGTGTGTGTGTGTGTGTGTGTGTGTGTGTGTGTGTGTGTGTGTGTGATTTATTAGAATGGCTTCCAGGTTGTGGCCTTGGTCACACCAAGAGTGATTTTCTACAACACTAACCAACAGAAGGTCCAAGAATCTAGTAGTTATTCAGTCCATGAGGCTGGATGTCTCAGCTGGAATTCAGTACATGCTGGAAACCTGAAGAAATGGGCTATAATGCCTGCAAAGGAATGAACTTGCTGTCAAGAGCAAGTGCAAGCTGGCAAAGAAAGAGTGCAAGCTTCCTCTTTCATATTCTTTATATAGGCTGCCAGCAGGAGGTGTGGCCTAGATTAAAGGCAGATATTCCTACCTCCAAAGATCTGGATTAAAGGTGCAGCTTCCCACCTCAAAGATCCAGATTATTAGTGGGTCTTTTTGGATGGTTTAATTAATAGAAGTTCCCTCACAGGTGTGCCCAGCTGTTTGATTTTAGTTGATTATAGATATAATCAAGTTGACAACCAAGAATAGGCATCACGGTTCCACCTGTTGTCAACTTGACACACAATCATGTCTATATCTATGTCTTATGCATGCTCTATACCACTGGACTCCTGACAATCTCACTGAAGTAGAAAGCCCTTGAATTTTTGTTTGGTTTATTTCCCATACTTTGGTGCACTTAAGTGTTACCAAGGAGTCCAAAATGATTGCTACCTCCTGGTCACTTGGTTCAATCAGCATAATGTTGTCAACCTAATGCACTAGTATGATATTTTGTGGAAGACACAGATGATTAAGATCCCTTCTAAGTTATGATACGGGGCTGGGGAGGAAAAATATGCTTGAGGTATAATTGTAAAGGTATATTGCTGGTGGTCCTTTTGGACAGGTACCAAGAAAAAAAATTGCTAGATGAATAGCTGCATACCATCTACCAGGAGATGTGTTTATCTGCTCAAATAAGGGCACTACATCTGGTACAACAGCTGTAATCAGAGTCACTACTTGATTGAGGATTCAATAGTCAACTATCATTCTTCACAATCTATCTATCTTCTGCACAGATGGAAATATTAAAGGGCCAGATAGGAGAATTAAAGGGAGATATGATGGGAGCCACCACCCCTGCATCTTTCAAGTCCTTGATGGTGACACTAATTTCTGCTACTCTTCCAGGGATGTGATACTGGTTTTGATTCACTATTTTCTTTGGCAGAGGCAACTTTAACACCTTCCATTTAGCCTTTCCAACCACATTAGCACACACTCCACAGGTCAGGGAACCAATTTGAGAATTCTAACTACTTCTAAGTATATCTATCCCAATTATACATTCTGAGACTGGGGAAATAACCACAGGCTGAGTTCAAGAACCCACTGGAACTACTGAGTCAGATTTCAGCCAAATCTCTGCTATTCAATGTTCTGTTACTGTGAAAAGACACCATGACCAAGATTGGGGGCTTGCTTACAGTTTCAGAAATTTAGTTCATTATCATCATGGCGGGGAACACGGTGGGATGAATGGTGCTGGAGAAGTAGCTGAGAGCTACATCCTGATCCACAGGTAGAGAGTGAGAGAGGGAGAGGGAGAGAGGGGGGGAGAGAGAGGGACAGAGGGAGAGAGAGAGGGGGGAGAGAGAGGGAGAGAGAGAGGGGGAGAGAGAGGGATGGAGGGAGGGAGGGATAGGGAGAGGGAGGGAGAGGGAGAGGGAGGAGACGAAGGAGGGAGAGGGAGAGGGGGAGAGGGAGAGGGAGAGGAGAAAGAGAGAGGCTGAGACTGCTATGGGTTTTTGAAAACTCAAAGCCTAATCCCAGTGACACAGTTCCTCCAACAAGAGCACACCTCCCAATCCTTTTTCAAACAGTTCCACTCTCTGATGACTAAGCATGCAAATATAAGGGCCTATGGGGGGCCATTATTATTTAAACTATCACATAATCACTTTCATCAAAGGCAGGGAAGTCCAGTCATTCATGTTTCCCCCTACCACATATGACAGGGACTGGAGGGATGTTTCGCTGCTTAAGAACATCTGTTCTCCCAAAGGACTCAGGTTTGGTTCTCAGCACCATGTCAGTGGCTTACCCCTACCTACAACTCTAACACCAGGGGATCTGACACCTACACCTTTATGGGCACCTGCATGCACGTGTGTACATGCTTTCACATAGGCACACATACACATAAATAAACCATAAAATAAGTCTTTTTCAAAGTTCCTCACACAGCTTTGTTTGGACTCTGAAACATACTGGAGAGGAATAATGATGTAATATAAGGAATTTTGTTAACAAAAGGAGTGGTAAATTGCCTTGATTATTTGGACTGCCTTCATCTAAAACCAAAGCAATCATCTGAAATGTGGGCAACGGGAGCTTGGTTGTTACAACATAAATGCATTTAAAAGGCATATGATTCATTGGAATATAAAAATACAAGACCAGTAGGGCATTGGTGGCTCACGCCTTTAATCCCAGCACTCGGGAGGCAGAGGCAGGTGGATCTCTGTGAGTTCGAGACCAGCCTGGTCTACAAGAGCTAGTTCCAGGACAGGCTCCAAAGCTACACAGAGAAACCCTGTCTCGAAAAAACTTAAAAAAAATCCTTCTCCTATCAATCACAACCATAAATCACATGCAAAAT